GGCTCCGAGCAGCTGCGGGACCGGAGCGCGGCCCGACGCTGACCCGTCCCGTCCGCTCGCGCGAGAGGCCGCCCCGGGGCCTTGGCGCGTGTGGCTCTGCGCCTCTCCCGGGCCCGGTCGCGCGGGGTCCCGGAAACCTGCACCCTGCTCCGCGCGTCCTGCCCGCCCTCGCCCGAGGTCTCCGGGACGTGGCCTGAAACCTGGTCGCCGTCGGAGAGCGCCGCCCGCATCGTTTCCTGCGGAGAGCGTGCTCTATTTTGGTGTCTGTCACCTTTAATTTTTTAAGCATTAAGCCCTGCCCCAAACTGAGCCTTTAAAACATTGGGGAAGGTTCGGAGTCTTTGGTCGTGTCACGTTCATTCACTCGCATAATCACCAGGACAGCCTGTTGGGGTTACTCCCATTGTTTGCATAATTTAAGAAAAAGGAGGCCACAGTGACTTAGGTGACTCGGCCAGAGTCTTCCTGCCTTAAGTTGCAATGTGGGGTCTTGAACCCAGTCATCTAAGTCTGGTATTAAGTTTGTGATTACAATGTGTCAGGTGCCATTTGATCTGAACAAAATCTTGCAAGATAAGTAGTATCTTTCTTATTGTATAGCAATAATACATAGGACTTCAAAAATCCATTTTCATATGCATAAGGGAGGGAGCAGGGGAAACTCTTCCTCTTAGTAGGTTTTCAAATGTAAGCCTGGAAGGAATCATGTAAACAGAAAATACCGCTTGATAAACGGCACAGTAATTGTTTCAGGCGTCGACCATCAGTGGATGCTAAACTGAATGGGCAGAAGTTGGATGAGCAGCATGAAACTTACACAGCCTCAACTATCCCTCCGCCAGATACTTAGAAATGAGAAGTAGTAACTCCAGTGGAGAAATCTGGTAGCTAGATACCACCTGAACCACCTGATCAAAATGCAGATCGCCAGGAGGACGACCGCTTAACTTCATTTACCTCCTGATGGGGTGCACCGGGAAGGCTGCACTATCACTTCTGTGGTGGTCTTGGCAAAAATACATACCCTCATGCTAACCGCAGGAGGAGATTAAACAGATCCAAATTGAGGGACATTCTACAAAATAACTGACTGGCCAGTGTTTTTTCAAAAATGTCAAGATTTTGAGAAGAAAAACAGGTTGAGGAACCGTCCCAGATTAGGGGAGTTGAAGGAGACGCGACAGCCTCCGCAGCCATGAGAATGCGAAGCACCTGCGTTCTGAAGTCCGTTGGCATGGACGCTTCCGCTGGGCTCTAATTGCCAACGATGGAGCCTTGCCAATAACTGAGCACAGCAGGCCTGTTCCTGAGAAAGGAGGCACGCTCAGAGGGCTTGCTGGACCTTCCTTAGACAGCATGGCCATTTAGGAGGCGTCTACCCAGCTGCCCTCTCTTCTTCACTCAGTGTCAGATTTGCATGGAAGTCTGACGTTTTCCCAGCTTTCTCCCCATTTTTTTTCTGACACAGGCATTTCCCCTAATAAAAACCTTTGTGGGCTTAATCCCACCTTGGTATCTGCAGAGTACCACAACAATCAAATGCAGTGTGTTTTCCTTGGATTGCGTCCTGGTCCAGAAAATGGACATTAGTGGAATAATTGGTGAAATTTGAAGGTTTTAACTTTTTCTATAGATTAGTTAAAAGTATTGTGCCAGTGCTAATTTCCTGGTTTTGATTATTGTACTGTGGTTACATAAAATGTTAACATTTAAGGAAGTTGGGGAAAGAGTATACGGGAATTCTAAGTCTGAAATTATTTCCAAATACGCTTAAAAAATTTTTTTAAGTCATATACAAGACAAAACAGTTGTTCTGTCACACCGAGGTAAAAATAAACAAATGTATGTTTGCTTTCCTATAATCCTCTAGCAAATGAACTGGTGAATACTCAAAATTCTTGGAAATGACAGTGATGGGAATGAGGAAGTATCAGAATGACCTGAGAAGGGTTTTCAAATTACAAAAACTTATAGATTCTTACATTCTTTCAATTTCTCTCCAGCAGACTCCCCCAAATAGGAGCATGTTAAACTAGGGAGAAGAGTGAGAATACTGAGTATAAACAGTACTACTAGACATACAGAACTGGAAATCTAAACACTTAACTCATCCAAACAACAGAATTGTTCCAAAGGGATTTTTGAAAATGATTATTTATTTAGAAATCACCCCATTGAAGTTGTTGAAGTATTGTTTACTGCTCAGGGGTTGATAGGTGATCAAGTTGTGTATAACAGATTGGAGTTAATCTAGGGACCAGGAGCCCTTGCAGTTACAGCAGTAATTGTGAAAACATTTATTCTGTGCTGGTACATCTTTTTAAGTCTTTGGGCTTTTTTTGCCTTTAAGCTAAGTAAATTGGAAATCCCAATTAGGAATAAGTCAGGTCCCAGGTATGCTAGGTAAACAATAATCTGCTGTAGATGAAGAACATTTTTTTTCAAGTACTTCTGATTATCCTCCACTTCTTCCCATCTATCTGAGAACCACTGATTTAAGTGCTGGATTAATAATTGATGTTTGTAAATAATTTGGACTTTGTTTACCCAAATTATGTTATTTGCATGTACAGAGCCCTTAATTGTCAAATATGCTTTTTAAAAATTATCTTTGCTGCCCTATTTTAATAGACATGTTTCCTTTTTAAACATTCAGAACCTTTATATTTAGTGAACACAGACATGAAAAGAAAGGTAGTGAATGCTGGCAAGATGAGATTGAGTCCTAATGAGGAAGCCTTCATTTTAAAAGAAGATTATGAGAGAAGACGAAAGCTACGATTGCTACAGGTGAGATTTATTTGGAACAAAGTTTCAAATTCTGTATCTTCCCCCAATTATTAGTATTTTTTACATTAAAGTGTTCTAAGTAAAATATTGCATTTAAAAACCTTTTCTTGCCCTAACCGGTTTGGCTCAGTGGATAGAGCGTCAGCCTGCGGACTGAAAGGTCCCAGGTTCGATTCCGGCCAAGGGCATGTGCCTTGGTTGCGGGCACATGCCCAGTGGGAGATGTGCAGGAGGCAACTGATCGATGTTTCTCTCCCATCGATGTTTCTAACTCTCTAACCCTCTCCCTTCCTCTCTGTGAAAAATCAATAAAATATATTTTAAAAAAAACACCTTTTCTTGCTGTACAAAAGCCTCGATTCTTGCATACTAACTAGTTTTGGAACATTTGAAAAATAGACCAAAATGGTAAATATATTGAAGAAGAGTTTGAGGATAGGAGTGAGTTGACTCAATAATTATTGGAAGATAGTTCTTTAAATATTTTTTAAATGATGTTTAACTGATAAAGATTAGGATGACTTTGAAGACTTAATGAAAAGATCATTAGCTGCTGAAACAAATTATGAGGTTGCAGATATTTCTTTTCTAGAAGTCTTTAGAGTAAGTTAGTTAAGTCTTTGTGAAGCATATTTTAGGTGCCATCCTGCTTAAAATTGGGATGATGTACCTTAGATAGGGAGTTCTCATCTAGCTCTGTCTATATTCATCTGGACTATACATTTTATTAAGTCATGTTTAACCATTTTAGCCTCTTAAATTAGGTTATTAGAATGGTAATGGCAGTACCATTAGGGCTTGAGGGATATTATAGCTAATCATTTAGGAAACTTTAGGAGATGTCTTGAAATTTTAGGGGTTTTTTCCCTATATCACTTGGATTTTTTTTTTTTTTTGCTTTACATAGAGCTTATCTAATGAATATTCAGGAGAATTGATAGATCTAAAGAAAATTAATTTAAGTTTCTGTTTCCAAATAGCTTTTTTTTTTTTTTAATATATTTTATTGATTTTTTTACAGAGAGGAAGGGAGAGAGATAGAGAGTTAGAAACATCGATGAGTGAGGGATATTATAGCTAATCATTTAGGAAACTTTAGGAGATGTCTTGAAATTTTAGGGGTTTTTTCCCTATATCACTTGGATTTTTTTTTTTTTGCTTTACATAGAGCTTATCTAATGAATATTCAGGAGAATTGATAGAAATAGCTTTTAAAAAAGATTTAAGTACTCTTTTTTTTTTTTTTTTTAATATATTTTATTGATTTTTCACAGAGAGGAAGGGAGAGAGATAGAGTTGGAAACATCGATGAGAGAGAAACATCGACCAGCTGCCTCCTGCACATCTCCCACTGGGGATGTGCCCGCAACCCAGGTACATGCCCTTGACCGGAATCGAACCCAGGACCCCTCAGTCTGCAAGCCGACGCTCTATCCACTGAGCCAAACCGGTTTCGGCTTAAGTACTCTTTTTTATATATCTGCTAAATATTAATTCTTCAGGTTCGAGAGCAAGAAAGGGATATCGCTTTACAGAGAAGAGAAGATATAAAACAAAGGAGAATTCGGCAATTTAATCATTTGGCAGAGGCACTGAGGGCAGAATGGGAAGAATCACAGACTCAGAAAATAAACAACTTGGAAAAACTGTATTTGGCAAGTTTAAGAAGTATGGGAGAGGGACACCAACAAGCCAAAGAAAATGTAAGTGAACACTGGTATGACTGCCTGTCTGTGGTAGTAATTATGGTTAAAAGCAAATTATACTTGTTAAATGTTTAAAAAAATAAAAAAATGTTTTCATATATAGAATTTGTTTTGGGCAGTCTGAACTTTTTAAATTTAATGTCATTTAAGAATGCTGCTAGGTTCATTTCCTAGTAAGAGTCCTGTCAAGTAAAATCTATCTTCCTGTAATGTTTAATTTGTGTGTATGTGTTAATCCTCACCTGAGGATAGTTTTCCATTGATTTTTTCTTTATAATATATTTTTATTGACTTCAAAGAGGGAGGGAGAGATAGAAACATCAATGATGAGAGAGAATCATTGATTGGCTGCCTCATTCACGTCCCCTACTGGGGATTGAGCCCGAAACCTGGGCATGTGCCCCTAACCAGAATTGAACCCAGGACCCTTCAGTCCACAGGCCAACGCTCTATCCACTGAGCCAAGCCAACTAGGGCTCTATTGATTTTTAGAGAGAATGGAAGGGACGGGGAGAGACAATGCGAGAAACATCCATGTGAGAGAGACGCGCCTAATTGCCTCCCACAGGAGCCCTGACCAGGGCTGGTGATCTAGTCTGCAACTGAGGTACATGTCCTTGACCAGAATCAACCTGGGACCCTTCAGTCCTTGAGCTGATGCTCTATCCCAGGGGTGGGCAAACTTTTTGACTCGAGAGCCACAATGGGTTCTTAAACTGGTCCGGAGGGCCAGAACAAAAGCATGGATGGAGTGTTTGTGTGAACTAATATAAATTCAAAGTAAACATCATTACATAAAAGGGTACGGTCTTTTTTTTTTTTTTTTTTAGTTTTATTCATTTCAAATGGGCCGCCGGCCCGCGGGCTGTAGTTTGCCCACGGCTGCTCTATCCTCTGAGCCAAACCGGCTAGGGCTATCATCCTGTAATGTTTCATTCTCTTCCAGTCTTTAACTGTCTGGGTAAAAAAAAAAAAATAGTAACTTTCTTAATCAGAAGTTGTTGTTTTTGAGCATTTTGGACAGACTCAGTGGGTTGAATTCATATTTCTTATTTCATTATCATTCCTCATATCTCTAATACATATATGTTAAATGAACATACACTTGGATTTCATTCACACAGTGTAAAAATTGTTTGATGTCTTTCAAAGAGGCAAAGTAGAACTTAATTCAGTATTTCAGACTGCCCCATAAACCTTATGTTGTTTTTTATTTTGATTTATGATTGGAAAATATGGGCATACCTTGGAGATATTGCAAGTTTTGTCCCAGACCACCACAGTGAAGTGAATCACGTGAATTGTTTTGTTTCCTGGTGCTTATAAATGTTATATTTACACTATACTGTAGTCTAATAAGTATACAATCGCATTATGTCTAAAAAACAATGTACATACCTTAACTAAAAAGTACTTTAATGCTAAAAAATGCTAACTATCATCCGAACCTATTGGAAAAATGGACTTGCTCAAAGTAGGTTGCCACAGACCTTTAATTTGTAAAAATCCACACTATCAAGTGCAGTGAAGTGAAGCACAGTAAAACAATATATGCCTGTTCTAGATTGCAGTCCCGGAGACAGTCACACAAAATAAGGCAAGTCTTAAATATCAAACCAATAGTGAGGAAAAGAAATGTCTTTAAAGAATGTGGCAATAGATATGTTCCATGGTCCCTGGTTTTAGTCTGGGTTTTTAGTAATGACATTAAGGTCTGATATCAGATTTTTGTAGCTTCATTTATTTGTGCTTTAGTGCAGTGTTTCCTAAACTTCAGTCATTCATTTTCATGATTTTTGTTCTGACTTGGGATGCAACCAAAGATTGTACTGTAATGCTACCTTTTAACCCTGAATTACATGATTTAACATTTTATATCTATTTTTAGGAACCTGATTTGAATGCTATGGCACAGAGGGCAGCAGAAAGAAAAAGAAAAGCTGAACTGAGGCATAAAGAGGCCCTGAAAGTACAGAAAAACCAAAAAGAAATGTCAATTAAACGAAAAACCTGGTAAAGTAATAGTTTTTATCATATTCTTCACTGAAGCGGATATGGTTAGAAGTAGATGCTGCATTGGATATTGTTTAAGCAGCTATTAAAAAAAAATCACAGTATATCCATTGGGTTGTTAATTTGGTTTTTAAAAATAATGCGGTGGGGGGAGGGGATGTGCTTAGGTAGGTGAACATAGTAACAAAGACTTTAGCAACAATTGCTAAATTATGTAGAAATGTATGGCTAGTTCAGCACGCACGTGTCAACCAAAATCTCTCTGCCTCTGATGTGAAAAAAAAAAAGAAAAAAATATCAGTGCGATTAAGAACATTAAAAGGTTATAGACTTTTTGGAAGTCATTAGTATTTTTGCATATTATAAAAATGAAAGAGCCTGTTATTAGTCAGCAATAGTCATTTTATGTAGTAGCCCATCTTTATCAATATTTCTCTTTTTTGCCCTAGCTGGTTTGGCTCAGTGGATAGAGCGTTGGCCTGCGGACTGAGGAGTCCCAGGTTCGATTCCAGTCAAGGGCATGTACCTTGGTTGCGGGCACATCCCCAGTGGGGAGTGTGCAGGAGGCAGCTGATTGATGTTTCTCTCTCATCCGATGTTTCTAACTCTCTATCCCTCTCCCTTCCTCTCTGTAAAAAATCAATAAAATATATTTTTTTAAAAATATTTCTCTTTTTTTTTTAACCCTAAACTAAAGAACATTAGATGTTCATTGGACTAGACCCCACTGTAGAGCTTTATGTCCTTAGATATATCTCTTAAACTTGGTAAACAATTTCTTAATATCTGCTGTGTATAGACTATTTATTAAATAACACACTGAGCTTGTGGGATCAGATGGGAGGATTTCTTGAGATCCTGTGGCTTTTATATTTTTAATCTTCAGGGATGTACTATAATATTGTCTGAGAAAGTAATTTATGCCATCTTTTGTTTTTTTAAGGCACATAAAAGCTCGAAAGGAAGCACTGCTTGCGGAAAAAGAGAGGTCTGCCAAAATTACAAGCCTGCCACCTCCTCCTCCAAGTCTTTTTGAGGTGAATTACTTTGAGTGTTAAGAAGAACTAGGTTATAATAATTCTTTACTTTAATTCTATAATAATTCTTTATAGAATTCAGTGCAGGTCAAAATATTTGCTATAACTTTTTTTTTAATTTATTGATTTTTAAGGAGAGAGAGAGAAACATGGATTTGTTGTTCCATCTGTTTATGCAGTCATTGGTTGATTCTTGTATGTGCTTTGATTGGGGATCGAACCCACAACCTTGGCATAACCTGACAGTGATCTAACCAACTTAGCTACCCGGCCAGGGCCTAACTTAATTTTAATTGTACAAATAACACATGCATATATCTGGAGTAAATAGTATGTATCTCTACTATATTAGGACTGGTTTTTTTTTTAGCACAATACTAATACTGTTCTAAATATAATCTAAAATAAAGTGTGTGACCCAGCCAGTGTTGCTCAGTGATTGAGTGTCAACTTATGAACCAAGAGGTGGTTTCATTCCTGGTCACAGCACATGCCTGGGTTTCGGGCTCAATCCCCAGTAAGGAGGCATGCAGGAGGCAGCCAATCAGTGATTCTCATCATTGGTGTTTCCATCTCTCCCTCTCCCTTCCTCTCTGAAATCAATGAAAATATATTAAAACACAGTCTGTGTTCAGTTTTTCCCAGTTATCTAAAAATATTTTTGGTTATTTGAAAACCTGTAGATGTTTTTTATCTTTAAAAATGCCCTTTATTTATTTTTTAAAAACTGGATTATTTGCTCTGTAGACTTTTCCATATTTAGGATTTGGCCATTGTAGATAGTTACTATATTATAAGATAGAGATTAGTTCATATAAGTTCATAAGTTTATATAAGATTATGCAAAATATCATTTTGAACAATTTTATTAAGTAAAGTGGAAATTAAAAGGTATCACTTCTCTTGTTCACATTAGCTTTTGGTGGTTATTGGGATGGCTATTTGGATGATTATCAAAATTACAGTTATTTTTACCTAAGAAGTTAGTTAGAAAAGGAAAAACTTACACAAATACAAAAATGGCTAATTTAGTTGTATATACACATATATTTTATGTATGCATGATCAGTATAAGTACCCAGTATTCACCTCTTAAGCCTTTACTGTTGTCAGCCTTCCTGCTTTTATGTTGAGCCATCTGCCATGTAACATTTGATCCAACAAGATTCAAATGGAAGAGTCAGATTTCAGTCTCTCCCTCAGTACCATGTTAAAAGACAGGTGGTATTTTATCCGTGATACTGTGATTTATTGTTGTCATAATTCCTAATGTTCCTGGCAAACCAAAGTAAAAAATTTACAAAAAGCACAAAAAACTGTATGATTTAGCAAATATGAATTATATGTTAGATGTAGACTCCCCCCGCAACTTTTTTTTTATGAAAATTTTCAAAATACAGAGAAGTTAGAAGAATACAATGAATAGCTGTTTGCGTTGTGTATAGATTTCAAATAGTTGTGCATATATGTATACATTTGAATGTAAATTGTAGAAATGACATTTCACCCTAAATACTTCCGCATGCTTCTTGTAAGAATAAGGATGTTTTCTTATGCAATCACAGTAACACCTTAGGAAAATTAACATTAATTCCTTAAATCCATTTAATATTTAGTCAGTAATCAGAATTTTCCAACTGCCCCTAAATTGTCTTGTCTTATACCTTTTTCTTTTTTAATTGATTTCAGAGAGAGAGAGATAGGAACATCAATGATGAGAGAGAATCATTGATCGGCTGCCTCCTGCACACCCCCCACCGGGGACTGAGCCCACAACCCGGGCATGTGCCCTTGACCGGAATCGAACCCGGGACCCTTCAGTCCGCAGACTGGTGCTCTATCTACTAAGCCAAACCAGCTAGGACTCCCCCCCCGCCCCACCCCCCCAAACCAGCATCCAAGCCAAAGTTCACCTATTGCTTCTGCTTGTTTTATTTCTTTGGTTTCTCTTAATGTAAAACAATACCTCCCCCAAGTCTTTTATTTCAGACTTTTTTAAGGGACTGGTTTGAAGAGACTAGACTAGTTTCTCATGTTCTGTATTTATCTGGCTTGGTTATGGTCATGTCTACAAGAGATATCCATCATAAAGGTATATTTTTCTCTTTAACTAGAGGGCCAGTGCATGTGCACGGAGCATGGGGGTGGCGGGGGGGAAGTCCCTCAGCCCGGCCTGCACCCTCTCCCAGTCCCTAGCACTACTGCGGAGGCAGGAGAGGCTCCCACCACTGCAGCTGACCTTGCCAGCTGTGAGCCTGGCTTCTGGCTGACCACACTGACCACCAGGGGGCAGCTCCTGCGTTGAGTGTCTGCCCCCTGGTGGTCAGTGTGCATCATAGTGACCAGTCATTCTGCCATTAGGTCGATTTGGATATTTGCCTTTTATTATATAGGATTACCAAGTAATCTGAGAGATGGAACTTTATCAATGAGCATGAACCTGGTGGTACCCCAAAAATACCAAACTTTGGAAACCATAAAAAGGGGGAAAAAACTTTTTAATATGCCTCCCCCGAGGGGGGGGCCTTAAAACTTAAACAGCCACCCCCCCTCTTTTAAAAACTCTTTTTTCTAAAAATAAACTAGCTTTTTAATTCTAAATTCCAGGTTTAAAGGGAAAAAAAAAGGGGATGATCCCCCTGGTGAAAAAAAAAAAGAATAACTGATGAAATACAAAATAAATTTATTTGTATCAGATCTAGCTTTAAATGGAAAATTAATGCTTTTAATCTAACAATCTATTTCCCTATGTTCCCATTTTTTCAGAACATTGAAGTAAAGAGAATTTCTAATGTGAAAACCAAATAGTTCTACCTACCCATCATCTTTACGCTTTTTGTGAATAGAGAGACAGACATAGAACAGGTGATTGACTTAATGTTTGTTCATTTTCCTCATTTTATTAATTCTCTGTTCATTGAATTGAGTTATATCTAGCTTCTTGTAAGTTGTTTCCAGATGTCAAAATTTGAATAATTCAACTAACCATTATAGAGTAATAATGTTTTTAAAAATCTTTCAAATATATTTTGAATTATGTCATATTTAATATGAATGAGGTTTAATATGAATGAAAGGAGTTAGCTATTTGGATGGTTATATTTTAAAATAGCAAATCTTAAAAATTTTTTAATCAAAATAATATATGCTCTTTGTGAAAATTTTGGAATTATACATGCCAGCCTAAATGATAGGAAAAACACCCATGATTTCATCACCAAAAGGAAATGTAGTTAATCCATTAATGAATTCATTATAGTCTCTCTATATAAACATATACACTTTTGAAAACATGATATTTAACAAGTACTTAATATTAAATCATAGAATTTATTTAACCATTTTTCTGTTCCTTTTCTTCTGTAAATAATGCAAACATAATATTTCTTCATCAGCTTTTTGCAAATAAACTACTTTATTTGTTCAGTCAACTTTTTTAACATGTAAGAGCTTCTAGTATGTGGTGTTTGAATATCCTGATAACTTAATTCTAAACTCTTGTATGCCACAAAATTTGTCTTTTGCTGAAGAATGATGAAAGTGGCCTGCTATATTCCTGCTGGAGCCAGTAATTCTCTAAATTATGTTTTGCTACATTTACTTTCTATCTACACAACTAAAGTAAATTCTTAAATTACTGATGCCCTTCATGATATTTTTTCTTTTGTCATTGACAGTTGCATAGTTTAAAAATGGATTTTTCATTCCAGAAATATTTTTTTCTATTGTAGCCATTATATTGGTTACTGTGAGACCCAGGAATGTCTGCAGACAAGTAAAACAGAAAAGTTAAATTCATCAATTTAAAAATTTCTCTAAATGACTGATGTACAAGATGCAGAAGTAGCATATTTTATATTTATTTTATGCACTGCAGATTACAATTCATGAAAAAAAATTCTAGAAACGTTTTCTAAAATGAGTTTTTGCTTGGGATTCAGTTTTTGCAAATTTCACACATCTTTGAGTTCAGCTACTGAGTGGAATCTGAATAATTATTTCAACCAGATTTTTGTTTAAATTTTTAATTGCACTGACACAAATCTATAAAGTCTTATATCCCTAAAGCATTCTTGTAAAATCATTTTTTGATGTTTAGGCAGTAAGAATAAAACCGGTACCTGCCCTGGCCGGTGTGTTCAGTAGTTAGAGCAGTGGCCCGTGCACCAAAGGGTCTCTGGTTCAATTCCTGGTCAAGGCATGTACCTGGGTTGCAGGTTCAACCTGGCCCTGGTCATCACGGGTGCAGGAAGCAGCCAATCGATTTGTCTCTCCCACGTTGATGTCTCTCTCTCTCTTTCTTCCTTCCTCCCTCTGTACACCCCTCCCTCCCTCCCACTCTATTTATTTATTTATTATTTTTAAAAATATATTTTTATTGATTTCAGAGAGAAAGGGAGAGGGGGGAGAGAGACAGAAACATCAATGATGAGAGAGCATCATTGA